TGCTATGCTGTAGTTTGATTTGCCGCTTCTCGTTTCCATTTTTTTATCCCACTTCTGACACCAATTTGTTACGTCTCCGTTTGTTAATTGATTTTCCGTAATTTCGTTCCAACGAAACTTTAGCGACACTAGTCCTTACTTAATAAAACTGGTTTATTCTTTCCGAATACAACTTTACGATACACTTATTTTCAGCAATCGCTCAATAACAAACGCTATATCAACGAACGTCAACAATACTTCTGACTGCAGTTCAATTACTCACTATCTACACACACATTACATTATTCCCGTCACGTTGTCACCCTCTTTTATATACCAGACTACCCTATATCTAGTAAATGCTAGAGCATTCGCTAAAGTACAGGATAGTTCTAGAAAGTAGAGGGCGTGAGAATAGTCACGTGATCTCGATGACGCAACAATATGGTGTGTAGAATAAACAAATACATTGTTGTTTAACAATGAATTATAACAGTTGTCTTATAAATATGGTGTGTAGAATAAACAAATACATTGTTGTTCAACAATGAATTATAACAGTTGTCTTATAATATGGTGTGTAGAATAAACAAATACATTGTTGTTCAATACCCAAACACGAGAACATTTCAGCTATTATACACGATACCAGGGACATCATTAGCCCCCTCTAGACCAATAGGGATATTCCTTTAATTTTCTTTGAAATCTTACACTAAACATTGCAATTATTTTGAGCAATAGTGGTTTCTTGGAGTCCAAATGTTTTCGGTATGACCCTGATTGATACGTGCTCCCCAGTGGCACAGCGGTATGTCTGTGGACTTACAACGCTAGAATCCGGGTTTAGATACCCGTGGTGGGTGGAGCACAAATAGCCCATTATGTAGCTTTGTGCTTAAATACAAAGACTGGTATTCACTGCACAGTTCACGACTTGTGAACGTTTTAATTATAGACATGGCGTGTGTTTTTACAATGTGTATAAAGTCCAGGTCATTTAGTTCAATGGCCGTTGTGCTACCCGTACTATTTTCTCCACCAAAATGTAACCGATAAATTCATACTAATAAAAGTAGTATAGCAATTGAATTAAACCGTGATGTGAAGGTCTAATGAATTGTTTCAAACTAAGTGTTCACCATTTCCGCTGGCTCTGTGAGAGGGGTAAGTAGCATATCCTATCGAGTTTCATGGTATGTGAATACCGTTTTATGGTAATATTGAATGTTTTAATGCGCATTGTGTCGTGAAATAACTTGTTTTGTTTATTTCACGAAAGGGTCGTTAGTTTCGAACTGATAGTGATAGGCTAGAATAGTTGTTATTAAACCTGGAATAAAATTAGTCTCTCGTGGAGTCGCCAGTTTGGCGGGACAAAAACTTATGTTGTAAAAGTACGTAACTGGACAAGTTGAAGAGGTCGCGCAGATTTGGAATGTCTGAAATGGGGTTGGTACTGACACAAGGTTTGGATTAGAGGGAAGACAGATAGTGAACATTAGTTCTTGGTCTACTCTAATCTGATGTGGATTTGACCGTCACACTTATAGTGCACCCATAGCTCCAAAGTGCGGAATATTAACATTTAAAACACTTTTATCTAATTAAATCCTGAAAAATCACTCAACTTATACACCATTTTGATTTTAGTGGTTTTTGATAGTTTTCAATGAGCAAAACATTGTGCCCCCCAGTGGCACAGCGGCATGTCTGCGGACATACACTGCTAGAAATCGGGTTTCGATACTCGTGGTGGGCAGAGCACAGATAGCCCATTGTATAGCTTTGAACTTAAATACAAGCAAATAAACAAGCCAAGCATTGCTACTTGCAAAGTTATAAACATATAAGGGGATGAAAGAGAGCAGACTAAAACTTGAAGTAGAACACGCCTTGCATATATTGCAGTCACATGTGGGTTCTCTAGCCCACAACGCCCCACATTTTTACCACCTTTCTCTGTTTGCAGTCAGATGTGGGTTCTCTAGCCCACAACGCCCCACATCTTTACCACCTTTCTTCTGTCTGCAGTCAGATGTGGGTTCTCTAGCCCACAACGCCCCACATTTTACCACCTTTCTCTGTCTGCAGTCAGATGTGGGTTCTCTAGCCCACAACGCCCCACATTTTTACCACCTTTCTCTGTCTGCAGTCAGATGTGGGTTCTCTAGCCCACAACGCCCCACATTTTACCACCTTTCTCTGTCTGCAGTCAGATGTGGGTT